TTCACGTTCTCGTTCTTCATGATGAGCAGCGAGAAGCCGCGGCTGCGGGGCCGCCGCTCAGCGCGACGGGGCCACGGCACGCGGGGACGGGAATGTGGGGACTGGGGTGCAGGGATGGGCATGGGGGTGTGGGGACAGGAGATGGAGGGACAGGATGGGGATGGAGGGATGGGAACATGGGGACCAGGGTGCACGGATGGGCATGGGGATGTGGGGACAGGAGATGCAGGGACAGGATGGGGACATGAAGATAGGGACATGGGGACAGGTGAGGCTGGGATGGGGATGGAGGGATGGGATGGGGATTTGGGGACCAAGGTTCAGGGATGGGATGGGGATGGGGATTTGGGGACCAAGGTTCAGGGATGGGATGGGGATGGAGGGATGGGATGGAGATGTGGGAACCAGGGTTCAGGGGTGGGATGGGGACATGGGGACAGGAGATGCGGGAACAGGAGATACAGGGACAGGATGGGGATAGAGGGATGGGAACCTGGGGACCAGGGTGCAGGGATGGGATGGGGACATGGAGACAGGAGATTCAGGGACTGGATGGGGATGGAGGGACAAGAGACGCAGGGATGGAATGAGGATGTGAAGTTGGAGATGCAGGGAAGGAGGAGGACATGGGAACAGATGCAGGGATGGGATGGGAATTCAGGGTTGAAGGATGCAGGGATAGAGGATATAAGGACAGGATGTGGTAGGGACCACAGGAATGGGCACATAGGGATGAGAGGGGATAGGGATGAAGGGATAGATAATGAAGGGATGGGAGGGGATTGGGATGCAGGGGTGAGAAGGGGGGGATGTAGGGATGAGGACACTCAAATGGGGGGCATGGGGACACAGGGAGGTAGGATTCAGGAACAGGAGTGATGGAGAAGCAGGGACAGGAGGGGATGGGAATGCAGGGATGGAAAATGCAGGGATGGGAAGGGATGGACACCACAGGGATGGGGATTCAGGATGGGGCCGTGCGGATGTCAGGTGATGGGGACTCACTTGTAGA